TCTGATGGTTATTTTTATTATTGTGGGGTCAGGAATAACTTCTCCTTTGTTATTTCTAATTGTATTTGGATTTTCTCTTTCTTCTTTATTAGTCTAGCTAGTGTCCTATATTACTAATTTTTTTATTTTTTCAAAAAATCAACTCCTGGATCTGCTGATCTTTTGAATTCTTTTTTGTGTCTCAGTTTTCTTTAGTTCAGCTCTGACTTTGGTTATTTCTTGTCTTCTGCTAGCTTTGGGGTTGGTTTACTCTTGCTTCTCTAGTTCTTTCAGTTTTAATGTTAGGTTACTAATTTAACAACTTTCTAACTTTCTGATGTGGACATTTAGTGCTATGAATTTCCTGCTTAACATTGCCTTAGCTGTGTAACAGAGATTCTAATATGCTGTATTTTTATTCTCATTAATTTCAAAGTACTTCTTTTCTACCTTAATTTCAGATTTACCCAAGAGTCATTCAGGAGTATGTCATTTAATTTTCATGTAACTGCATGGTATGAGTGATTTTAAAAGTCTTTACTTCTATTTTTATTGTACTGTGGTCCAAGATTGTGTTTGGTATAATTTTGGTTATTGATATGGTTTGCCTGTGTCCCCACCCAAATATCATCTTGAATTGTAGCTCCCATAATCCATGTGTCATGGGAGGGATCTGGTGGGAGGTAAATGAATCATAGGGGTGAGTTTTTCTTGTGATGAAAATGAATAAGTCACATGAGAGCTCATGGTTTTATAAAGGGCAGTTCCCCTGCACATGCTTGCTTGCCGTCATGTAAGACATGTCGTTGCTTCTCCTTTGCCTTCTGCCATGATTGTGAGACCTCCCCAGCCATGTGGAACTGTTAGTCCATTAAACCTCTTTTTATTTATAAATTACCCAGTCTCAGGTATTTCTTCATAGCAGTATGACAATGTACTAATACAATTATTTTTCATTTGCTGAGACTTGTTTTGTGTTCGATTACATGGTTGATTTTAGAGTATGTGTCATGTGGAAATGGGAAGAATTCTGTTGTTTTAGGGGTAGAGTTCTGTAAAGGTCCAGATCCATTTTTGTCCAATGTTGAATATCTTTGTTAATTTTCTGCCTTGATGATTTGTCTAATGCTGTCAGTGGAGTGTTGATGTCTCCCACTATTCATTATGAGGGAACCAGAGTCTTTTCGTAGGAATCTAATAATTTGCTTTATGAATCTGGCTGCTCCTGTATTGGGTGCATATATATTTAGGATAGTTACGTCTTCTTGTTGAATTGAGCCCTTTAACATTATGTAATGCCTTTCTTTGTCTTTTTTGATCTTTGTTGGTTTAAAGCCTGTTTTGTCTGAAATTAGGATTGCCTGAAATTAGGCCCATCTGGTCCTGGATTTTACTTTGTTTGGAAGTTTTTTGTTACTGACTTAATCTCATTACTTGTTAAATGTCTGCTTGGATTTTTATTTGTTCTTGAGTCTGTAATTTGTGTTTTTCTAGAAATGTTTCCATTTAATCTAGGTTATATTATTCATTAGTGTACAATCATTTAAAGTATTCTTTTACAATCCCCTTTATTTTTTGTAAGGCCAGTTGTAATATTTCAATTTTCATGACTAATGTTAGTTATTTGTACATTCTTTCTCTCTTTTTTACTTAGTCTAGCTAAGGATTTATTTATTTTGTTGATCTTTACAAATAACCTACCTTTGTTTTCATTAATTTTCTCTACTGTTTTCCTATTCTCTATTTCATTTATCTCTGCTCTTATCATTATTGTTTTCTTCCTTCTGTTAGCTTTGGGTTTAGTTTGCTCTCTTTGTTCAAGTTTTTTAAAGTGTAAAATTAAGTTCTTAATTTGAGATTTTTCTTCTCCACATACCCCTTCGCCATATGTACCTATAGCCTTCTCCCAAGATTAACATCTTGTACAACATGTTGGTATATTTGTTACAATCCATGAACCAACACTGGCACATCATTATCAACCCAAGTCCATAGTTTACATTATAGTTCACACCTCGTGTTATATATTCCATGGGTTTTCAAAATGCATAAGGAAATAGATTCACCATTACAGTATCATACAGAATCACTGCCCTAAAAATCACCCGTGCTTCTCCTATTCATCCTTTCTTCCCTTCTGCCACAACCCTGAAAACCGCAGATACTTTCACTGCCTTTACACTTTTGCCCTTTCCAGAATGTTTTGTCATTGGTTTTGTTCGTTCCCTTCATTACAGCCTTCTTTGTATTTAATGAATTTTCTGTAGTGTGCCACATTAATTCCCTCCTCACTTCTGTTTGTGTATGTTTTAGTATGGTTTTTTAGTAGTAGTTACTATGGGATTGCACTTGGCATCCTAAGTTTACAACAATCTAGTTTAGATTGATACCAAATTAACTCTAATGGCACACAAAATCTCTGTTCCTATACAGCTTCATCTCCCTTCTGTTTTGTCACAAATTAAATCTTTAAACATTGTGAGTCCATTAATATACATTTATAATTATGTTTACACACTTGTCTTTTAAGTGATATAAGAAAGAAAAAGTAATACAAACTGATAACCAAAATAATACTGACTTTTATATTTACCTATGTAGTTACCTTCATCAGAGTTCTTTATTTCTTTTTAAGACTTTGAGTTGCTGTCTAATGTTCTCTCACTGTAGCCTGAACAACTCTCTAGCATTTCTTATAGGGCAGGTGTACTGGCAACAAATGCCCTCGGCTTCTGCTTATTGGGGAATGTCTTAATTACTCCTTTGTTTTTGAAGGATATTTTCTGGTTATAGACTTTTGGTTGACAGATTGCTTTTCTTTCAGCACTATAAAGATGTCATCCCATTCCTTTCTTGCCTCCATAGTTTCTGGCAACAAACTGGCTGTGAATTTCATTGTAGAGCCCTTGTACATGACAAAACACTTCTTGCTTGCTGCTGTCAAGATTATTTCTTTGACTTTGGCTTTTGACAATTAGATTATATGTCTCATTGTGGATCTCTTGGCAATTATCCTTCTTGGAGTTGATTGAGCTTCCTGGATGTATAGACTTGTGCTTTTAATTAAATTTGGAATATTTGGCCATTATTTCTTCAAATATTTTTTCTGCCCTTTCCTCTCTTTCCTTTTTTCCAGAGACCCCATTAAATGTATGTTGGTATACTTGATGATGTTCCAGAGGTCCCTTAAGTTCTGTTCATTTTTCTTTATTTTTTTTTCTTTCTGTTCTTCATACTTGATCATTTCAATTTACCTATTTTCTAGTTCTATAATTCTTTATTCTGCCTAATCAATATTTCTAGTATTGAAACTTTCTAGAGAAGTTTTCAGTTTGGTAATGTAGTTTCCAGCTCCTGAATTGTTCTTTTTTTTTTTTCTTTTGTCATTTCCATCTCTTTATTGAAATCACTGTTCACGCATTATTCTCCTTATTGAAATCTCTGTTCACACATTATTCTCTTTAGCTCTCTGTCCATAGTTTCATTTAGCAGTTTGAACATATTTAAGACAGTTTATTTGAAGTCCTTTTTCCAGTAAGTCCAATATCTGTGCTTCCTCAGAAGTAGTTTCTATTCCTTTAGTAGTTCATAAGCATGATGATTGGCTTTTTATGCTCATGAATAAAATATTCCTCCCTCAAGCCTTTTTATGACATTGGCACATTACCCATCTGATGTGAAAAAATAGAGCTTCTGTTAGTTTCTTCTGTGAACAAGCCATATTTTTTGGATATTCCATAATTTTTGTTAAAAACTGGAACTGGACGTCTTAATCATTATAATGTGTTAACTCTGGAAATCACATTTTTCTCTCTCTTTGGGGTTTGTTTTGTTGTTTTGCATTCTATTTCTATTTTTATAGAATAGAAATATATCAAATCTACTGCCTGATCAAATCTACTATTGAAATCTTCCAGTGAGGTTTTCATTTCAGTTATTGTATTTTTCAGCTCTAGAATTTCTGTAGGCTTGATATGAGCTATAGCTATTGAGTTGTTTAATAATTTTCTAAACTTTTTTTTGTGAAGTCTGTATTCTTTGTCACATATTTTCTTTAAAATCTCTGCTCCTCTAACTCGTGTTCAGTTATTGTTTTGACAGAGATTTCCTTACACAACAGAAGACAGAGAGAGGAGGAGAGGGAGAGAACTCCACCTTTTCAGATGGACTGTGTGCTAAGGCACTCCTTCAATGCTTAGCCAGGCCATTTACAACCGCCTTTGCCTTTACTTCCTGCTTGTACTGCATTTAGAGGTCAGCCAGATGTGAAAGCTTAGGGCCTTCTCAGGTCTTTTCTAAGAATGTGTCTAGCCCCAGCCAAGCATTTGGCTTTCCAAATTTCCCAGTATATATGAATATTATTTTAATGCCCTAATTTTTCAAAGAAACTCTCTGTAGCTTTTCCTATTTTTACAAATTTCCTATGAGTTAGAACTTACCTCAAAATAAAACTTAAAATAAAAAAGCATAGATTTTGAGGCCAAAAAGTTCTGAGTTCAAACCCAAGCTCTACAACTTGCTTACTGTGTGATCTTATACAAGTTACTTTCATTAAGCCTCAGTGTTCTTATCTGAGGATAAAGATTATAATACTTTACATAATTATGTATTAGGAGTAATGTGTACTTGGCATGTAGTGGATACTTAACAAATGATAACTAATATTATTGCTATTCATGATATTGAGCTTGTGTTCAGTGAAAAGCTATCCTAATACTAGATTTGTCACAAAGCCAAAGATTGCTAATAACTTAAAAATACAATAAATCTGAATTCAAATTCTCTTATGCTAAGTAATTTTAAAAAAGCACTGTGATTGACTTGAACCTCAGAATCTTTTTAAACTGAAGGCAAACTAGGAATATAGGTTTTGAGATGCAATTTGAATGTGTTCCTAAGAAATCTCTATTGTAATAGGAAAATTCCCCTCAATACCACGGAAACTAATCTATATTGGGAAATCTAAAGCAAAAATAATTGATAATACAGGAGGACACTGTCATTAAAAAGATCCAGCATACCTTCAGATTAAGTGCATTTCTTCCATATACTTGACAGTTTACTATGGCCAGGTTGGTCATGGCTGTTATTGTTTCATATCGTGTTGCTGCAACAGTCTTAAAACCTTCACCACGTACAATGTGTATCTCTGATTCTATTTTTTCAGTTTTGGTGAGACCTAAATAAACAAAACAAAACATAAAATTTAAATGTGTTATCACCTAGAATGAAAGTTAAGAAGTATTTATCTTATGATAATATTGAGTTACCCTAAGGGCTTAAGTGTACACATCCTCTGGCAGGGATTCCCCATAGCCTTCATCTACCCCAAACTCAGTTCTGTTTGCCAAATTGGGTGTTGTTTTGTTTTGTAATTTTAGGTGCACCATTAACTTCCTCAAAGTAAACCATATGCTCACAGATTTCTATCTGGATAATTTAGTTTCCATCAATATCAGTCTTTGCATACTATGTGTAAAAATATTTTCTTAAAACTTACTATGAATTACATAAAGAACTTCTTGGCTCATAAAATTAATAGGCAACATCATGTAAGAATACCTCAGCAAGACATCAGCCTCACTTTTTCCTTAGTATCACTTTCTTAGTAAAAGCTACAGAGAGTTTCTTAGTATAATTCAAATGCCCTATGTAATTAAACTCTTCCTTTAGCTTGTAGATCCCCCGTAGGAGACAAACAAACATCTCAGGAGTAAGCCAAAGAAAGACCATCTAAATTTAAATTTACTTTATTATGACCCTATAGGTTTCACCTTCCATCAAAAATGTCCCATGCAAGTATACACCAAATGTGGCAGGAAAGTATTTTAAAATTTTATATAATATATTTTACTTTTGCAGCCAGTATTGCTGCATTGTTTGCAGAAACATATTTTATAATGTCAGTAATTCTTATGTTACTGCTTCGATGAGAGAAAATCAGCATCCTAGAATGAAGAAAACAAAAAAAGGTTTTTAATTTCTAAAATAGAACCTCTGTGCCCATTTCAGATCAAGAGATGTGAAAGCTTGAATAAAGAAAGATATATAATGTAATATAGAGATACCTTGGCTTGGGAGAAAGAATAGAGCAAGAAGGAAAAGAGAGTGAGTTAAGACATAAGTCTGTGGCCTGCTCCCTGCTCTAAGCCCAGGCAGTTGGTTGTTGAGTAGAAATGAGGAAGATGGAGATGAAGAGGAGGTGATCTCTCAAGAATCTGGGGATTCTTAAATTTTCTAAGAAGGAAACCACCAGAGAAGAAACTCAATAAAGCAAATAATGGCAGCATGACATGGAAGAGATCTGGAAGTTAATTTACATCATAGACAAGGATACAAAAGTTCTGGGAGGAATGGCGGGTTATGGTTGGAGTGTTCTGCTGTATATAACATTTTACTAAATCCAGCTATTTGAATTGTTAATTTGGTATATTATTTTTATTGTTCTAGAATTTTATTTGACTCATTTAAAAAAACAAAAATACCAGTTCTGTGGTGAAATTCTCCAATGATCTCTTTGTTTTCTTGGACATAGTAATCATAGTTACTTTTAAATCCATTTGAAACTCTAATATCTGAATCAAATATAGGCCTGTTTTATTGCCTGTTTCTTTCTACTGTTTTTCAGATATTTTATTTTATTTTTAGAAGGTGTTGTAATTTTTTAAATTTAATGCTGGACTTCAAAGATGAACTATTTTAAGAAGTCTGGAAAATATGCCCTCTCTCTCTTTCTTTCTCTTTCTCTCAGCATGTTAGGTTTTCCTTGATTAGGTAGAAAACACCATTATCAAGGATTGGTTTGAGCTTTGTTAGGGCTTGGCTATTTTAGTTTTGTCTTCTTTCCTAGAACATCATCTTTATTCCTAAGGTATGGAATTTCAACTGAAATTCCAATGTGTTTACAAAGGCCCCAACACTTCAGCAGAGCTTGAACTCTATTATACATCTTTTGTGCAATCACAAAACTCTATGATCAATTTCTTATCTTCTCAGCTGATGTTTTCTACTGCATTTCTTGGAATCTTATTCTATACATTCACAGCTTAGAAATCAGCTAGCACCCTTGAGGGAGTTTGTATGCAGATTTTTTTGTAGGAGACTGTGATATAGTTTGGATGTTGTCCTCTTTAAATTGCACGTTGAAATGTAAACCCCAATGTTGGATATGGGTCCTGGAGGGAGGTGTTTGGGTCATGGGGGCAGATCTCCTATGGCTTGGTGGTGTCCTTGTGGTAGTGAGTGGAATTCTGATCTTGTTTAAAAGTGTGTGGCAGGCTGGGCACAGTGGCTCACGCTTGTAATACCATCACTTTGGGAGGCCGAGGCTGGTGGATCATGAGGTCAGGAGATCGAGACCATCCTGGCTAACAAGGAGAAATCCCGTCTCTACTGAAAATACAAAAAATTAGCTGGGCGTGGTGGTGGGCGCCTGTAGTCCCAGCTACTCAGGAGGCTGAGGCAGAAGAATGGCGTGAACCCAGGAGGTGGAGCTTACAGTGAGCCGAGATCGCGCCACTGCTCTCCAGCCTGGGCGACAAAGCGAGGCTCCGTCTCAAAAAAAAAAAAAAAAAAAAGTGTGTGGCAGGCCAGGTGCAGTGGCTCACATCTATAATCCCAGCACTTTGGGAGGCCAAGGAGGATAACTAGAGGTCAGAAGTTTGAGACCAATCTGGTCAACATGGTAAAACCCTGTCTTCTATGAAAAATACAAAAATTAGCTGGGCGTGGTTGTGCATGCCTGCAATCCCAGTTACTCAAGAGGCTGAGATAGGAGAATCACTTGAACCTGGGAGGCAGAGGTTGCAGTGAGCTGAGATTGTGCCACTGCACTCTGGCCTGGGCAACAGAGTAAGACTGTCTTACAAAAAAAAAAAGTGTGTGGCACCTCTCCTTCACTCTCTCTTGCTTCTGCTTTTGCAGTGTGATATACCTGCTCTTGTTTTGCCTTCTGCCATGAGTAAAAGCCCACTGAGGCCTCCCCAAAAGCCAAGGGAATGCCATAACTATGCTTGTATAGCCTTCAGAACTGTAAACCAATTACACCTCTTTCTCTACACATTACTCGGTCTTGGGTTTTTCTTTGTAATAATGCAAGAACAAACACACACATAAAATTGGTACTGAGGAGAAGGGCACTGCTATGAAGATACATAAAAATGTGGAAGCCACTTTGAAACCAGGTAACAGGCAGAGGTTGGAAGAGTTTCTAAGGCTCAGAAGAAGATAGGATGATGAGGGAAAGTTTGGAACTTCTCAGAGACTGGGTAAACAGCGTGACCAAAATGCTGATATTTATATTGACAGTGAAGGCTAGGCTGCCAAGGTCTCAGATTGAAATGAGGACCTTACTTGGAACTGGAGCAAAAGTTACTCATGTTACGCCTTAGCAAAGAGCTTGGCTAAATTCTATTCATGCCCTAAAGATCTGTGGAAGTCTGAACTTCAGAGTGATGACTTGGTATCTGATAGAAGAAATTTCTAAGCAGCAAAGCATTCAGGATTTGGCCTGGCTGCTTGTAACAGCCTATGTCCAGATGTGGGAGCAAAGCAATGACAAAGTTGAAATTTATATTCAAAAGGGAAGCAGCTTGTAAAAGTTTGGAAAATTTGCAGCCTGGCCATATAACATGGAAAGAAAAAGCCTTGGGAGAGGGATTCCAGCACGCTATAGAGTAACCACTTGCTAGAGAGATCTGCATAACTAAAAAGGATCCAAGTAGCAATAGCCAAGAAAATGGGAACAAGGCCTCAAAGACATTTCAGAGACCACTGTGGCAGCCCCTCCCATCACAGACGCAGAGGACCAAGAGGACTGAATAGTTTCGGGGGCCAGGCCCAGGGCACCACTGCCCTGTGCCACCTGAGGGGGCTGCTCCTTGCGTCTTGGCCATTCTGACTCCAGCCTCAGCTCAAAGGACCCCAGATACTGCTTAGGCCGCTGCTTTGGAGAGTGCAAGCTGTAAGCCTTGGTGGCTTCCACATGGTGTTAGGCCTCAAAACCTGCAGAATGCAAGAGTGAAGGAGGTTTGGCAGCCTGCACCTACATTTCAGAGGATGTAGAAGAAAGCCTGGGTGCTCAGGTAGAAGCCTGTCACAGTGGTGGAGCCTTCACCGAGAACCTCTATTAGGGCAGGATGGGGGAAATGTGAGGTTGGAGTTCCCACACAAATACCCCACTGAGGCATTGCCTAGTGGAGCTGTGGGAAGTGGGCTGCCACCCTCCAGACCCCAGAATGGTAGCACTGCATGCAGCTTAAATCCTGAGGCTGGAAAAGCCACAAGTACTCAACTCCAACCCATGAGAGCAGCCACAGGAGGTGTACCCTGCAAAGTCACATGGTTGGAGCTGGGAAAGGCCTTGGGAGTCCACCCCTTGCACCAGTGTGCCCTGGATGTGGAACATCCAGTCAAATATTATTTCAGAACTTTAAGATATAATGTCTGCCCAGCTGGGTTTCAGATCTGTATACTTTCTACATTTTCATTTTCTGTTATAGGAGTTTCTAGAAAAAAGAAAAAAACTGGGATGAGTTTGGATACTTGTAAAAATTCATTTGAGGGTCTTATGACTTCAGTATGATCGTACATCGTTTAATGGATTGCAATTATCCATGAAAATGAATAGGGTCTGTAGCCCCTTTCTTTTTGCCAATTTCTCCCTTTTTGAATGGGAATGTTTACCCAATGCCGGTACCCCTCCCCCCATTGTATCTTGGAAGTAAATAACTTGTTTTAATTTTACAGGCTTGGAAATAAAAAACTTGTTTTAATTTTACAGGCTTCTAAGTGGAAGGGTGTGATGGTTAATACTGTCAATTTGATTGAAGGATGCAAAGTGTTGTTTCTGGGTGTGTCTGGGTGTTTCTCGGTGTTGCCAGAAGAGATTAACATCTGAGTCAGTGGACTAGGAAAGGAAGACCCACCCTCAAGAAGACCCACCCACAATGTGGGTACCACTCCACATTGTGGGATGTGTGTACCACATTGGATGTATGTACCATCCAATCAGCTGTCAGCACAGCTAGAAAAAGCAGGCAGAAGGTAGAAGAAGCTGACTTGTTGAGTCTTCTGGCCTTCATCTTTCTCCCATGCTGGATGCTTCCTGCCCTTGAACATCAGACTTCAAGTTCTTTGGCTTTTAGGCTCTTGGACCTACACCAGTGGTTTGCCTGGGGCTCTCGGGCCTTTAGCCATAGACTGAAGGCTACACAGTCGGCTTCCCTACTTTTGAGGTTATGGGATTCAGACTGAGTCACTACTGGCTTCCTTACTCCTCAATTAGCAGACGGTCTATTGTGGGACTTTACCTTGTGATGGTGTAAGTCAATTCTCATTAATAAACTCCCTTTCATATATACATATATCCTATTAGTTCTGTCCCTCTAGAGAAACCAAACTAATACAAAGGGACATGCCTTGTCTCACATGAGACTTTGTCCTTTTGAATTAAGCTGAAATGAATTGAGACTTTTGGGGAACTATTGGCAGGGGATGATTGTATTTTGCAATGTGAGAAGAACATGATATTTGAGAGGCCAGAGGTGGAGTGATATAGTTTGGATGTTGTCCCCTCTAAATCTCATATTGAAATGTAACTCCCAGTGTTGAACATGGGGCCTGGTGGGAGGTGTCTGGTTCATGGGAGTGGATCCCTCATGGCTTTGTGCTGCCCTTATGATAGTGAGTTCTTATAAGATCTGGCTGTTTTAAAGTGTGGCACCTGTACCTCACACCACTCTCTCTCTTGCTCCCACTCTCATCATGTGATGTTCAAGCTCCCACTTTGCTGTATACCATGAGTAAAAGCTCCCTGAAGCCCTTACCAGCGGCAGATACCAGCACCACACTTCTTGTATGGTCTGCAGAACTGTGAGCCAATTAAATCTCTTTTCCCTATAAATTATCCAGTCTCAGGTATTTCTTTATAGCAATGCAAGAATGGCCTAACACAGACTGAATCTCACTATGTTACCCAGGTGGGCCTCGAACTCCTAGGCTAAAGTGATACTCCACCTCAGCCTCTCAAGAACTGAGACTACAGCTGCGCTCCACTGTGCCCAGCTTGTATGCAGATTTTTTGATTCACCTTCCTTCAATTCTTGCCTCGCCAAGATTTTCTCCCTCAAGTCCCAAGTATATCGGCTGCTCTGAAGTCTGACTGCTAGCTCCTCAATCCGCTAAAACTGCCACATTCTACTTGTAATCCATTCTCCCACACCACAAACACCCTCAGGCAAAAGGCAAGGCAAAGGCAGAGCTTCCCTTCTTTCAGGAATTGTAACATCCACATTGGTTACTGTCCAGTTCTACTCAAGTCACGCCCACATTTGTTACTGTGCAGTTCCTTCAATAGCGACTTTATATATTTTTGGCAGCTTTAATAGTCAACTTTGGTAAGATTAGTCCAATACAAACTACTTAGTAATGGAAAAAACCTACAAGTCACCAGGTTATTTAAAAATGTGTCCAATAATTCTAATACCAAATAATCCTGTGGATAAGTTTCTACTGTTTATTGTTTCTGCTAGTTTTCATTCATTTTGTCTTTCTCTTTGTGTGCCTGGTAATTGTGAATTATTTACCACACACTATATTTGAGAGATTGTTTGTAGACATAATGTAAATCTAGGATGGTGTAATCTTTCTTCAAAGATATTTTTCATTTTCATTTGTTTCTTCTAAGTAACTAAGGTCAAAGCACTTATAACAGTGCCTGGCACATGGCAAATAGTTAATTCATATTTTTGTATGTCTGTTCACCCCACCCAGATTAAGAGTACATCAGCTTTTATATTCTCAACATCAATATGTTTGGTTCATAGTCAATATATTAAAAATAGCTGCTCCATAAATGACTTAGGGATCCGAAAATGAAGTAAGACATATGTGTGTTATGCATGTGTGACTCACACACATAAACACACAAAATCATTCATAATTTTTTAAAGATATAATATATACAGTTTCTAAAAGAATTGCATAAATCTAGCATTTACCTTCAGGTGGTCTTGGTAGGATTTGCTTTGGGACACTTTCTACATTTTCATGTTCTGCTACAAGAGTTTCTAGAAAAATGAAAAACAAATGGGATGACTTTGGATACATGTAAAAATTCCTTTGAGGGTTTTATGACTTCAATATAATTGTTCATCATTTAATGAATTCCAATTATCCATGAAAATGTATTCATGAAGGCATCTATCAGCATTGGCAGTCTACTTCTGGAGTTCATCTAGATCACCTTTTGAATGATTGTGTATTCTCACTGCTTCTGTATATTAGCTTTTCTGATCCTTTGAATTCCCTTGTTGGTTCCCATCATCACCATCAGAATGGAGTACCCAGTCTGGCCTTGGCAGATCTGCAAGGTCAGGACTTCTGTTATTGCCCTATGGCTCAAGTATTACATGGATAGATAAAAGGTGATTCCATCCTCCCACTCTGCAAACCCAAACAGGGAGGGGTACCATTAGCTTGCATGCCTTCTCTCCCCTTTGCTCTACTTGACTCTGTAATTATACCATGTTCAGATCGTATTTACCTATCACAGACTGCCTGTGAGGTTTTCTTGGTAAAATTGGTGTTGGCAAGGAAACAAAACCTGGAAATTGAGTAACTTTTAGTGTCAATGTAGCAGTTGGTTTAAAATGTTCAGGCCACTGTCCTTCTGGTTTCACAGATACAGTTGTACGTAGAGGGCTTGGCACTCTTGCACTTAAATCTCTCGAGATGTGCTGATAAGTATCACCTGGACTCTCCAGTAAAGGTTGATGCTCAGGGTGCACAGTCTCAAGTTTGTGAGTGATAACTAAGCCAGGAGTACTTTCAGGTTTGGAAAACTTGGAAGAAAGAATTAAAATGTTTTCTAGCTTTTTTTCAGTATAAACATCTTTCATAGTTTTCAACTTTCTGGAATTTTCCATTTTGTTTGTTTGTTTCCCAAAAATTCGAGTAGAAGCTGAATGACAACGTGGAAAAAATATGGAACCAGTAGCAGTATCTGGAATCTGCTCATAGACATGCTTAGTAGGTTTTTGGGGTGATGAAATTGCAGTCACTCTTTCTTGTACACAATGACCAAAAAAGATATTTTGGATATTGATAGGTGTTAATGATTGATTTCTTAAAACATCAGGAAAATGAGTTTTATCCGTTTTAATGGAAGTGGTTTCATCTTCAGTGAATGTTACGTGTAGTGACCCAGTTTTACCAGTTTTGGCTAAACCAAAAGAAAAAAAGAAAAATTAAATTGTATTTATCAATATGTCACAGACAAAATATCTTAGCATTCACAACTTTTCTTTACCCACTCACCCCTTTCTCACCTTCTAAAAATGTTTCTGTATACACTTGCTCAGCTACCAGGATGTGTGTTGACATGACTGGTATAAAGTTTGAGTGAGCAACTGGAGAAGTGAAAAGGCTAAATTGTATTAGATTTTTAAAGGGTAGAGAACTATTCTTGGAGGAACAGAATTGGTAGAGAGAAGGGAAGATATAAGCTCCAATAATAGACTAGATTTTTGAGAGTTTATCACTAAAACTCTGGCAATAGGGATGGATACAATTGATGAAGTTTTGCTATTTATCATACATCATTAGCTCTCCCTTATTTGAAATTTCCTTGACCAAAGATTTACATTTCTTTTAAATGCCAGACGTCAGACCAATGTGTCTTTTGAAGATGATAACAATCTGATAGTGGTTACAGGTGCCATAAGCTCATTTAGATTATAACAACAAGTATTCTTTTCTATCTCACGTCCAGAAAATGCACTGAGCTTGCATTCTTAGGCAGGAATCATATATGCCTTTTCTTTCCTATGCAACAGAATGTGAAATGACATTTTTCTGTTCCCTCAGCTGAGTGCAATAAATGATGAGGATCTGTACATTCAAATGAGATAATAGATTCCTTAAGGCAAAATTTGCCAAGGGGTGGCCAAAATAAGTCCTTCAGCACTTCACCCTTCACCCATCTGTTGTTTATATGGGACGGCTGGAGACTCATCTGAGTTTGGAGAGAGTATCTCCTCTGAACAGAGCTATTGGAGTTGTATGCATTTCCCTGATTTTTCCCTCCCCATTGAGGGTGTAGGAGGGATGATGTCCCCTATCTCAAACCAAGTGAGGGGGACTTTTTATAAATAAGAGGACTATATACCACAAGGAGAAAGTAACATCTCACTCTTCCCCTATCCACCTCCCACACTGATACCTGCAGAACAGCAAAATGTATTGGTTTATCCAGTGCTGTTTCCTGATCAGAGTAATATAAGGGAATCATTTTAACTACTTGACTTGTATCTCCTGACATTTCCGTGGGGTACAAGACTGATGCTGATTCTCACTTTAATTATTAACTTTTTAACAACATAACTCTTCCCCACACCTTGCCCCACTTATGGAGGAACCAAAAACTATAATATGAGTTGAAAAAGAGAGTAGGGCCAGGCACAGTAGCTCATGCCTGTAATCCCAGCACTTTGGTATGCTGAGATAGTAAGATCACCTGAGGCCAGGAGTTCAAGATCAGCCTGGGCAACATAGCAATACTCCTATCCCTGCAAAAAAAAAAAAAAAAAAAAAAAATTAGTCAAGTGTGGCAGCATGCTCCTGTAGTCCCAGATACTTAGAAGGCTGAGGTGGGAGGGTACCACGAGCCCAGGAGACTGAGGCTACAGTGAGCCATGACTGCACCACTGCACTCCAGCTTGGGTGACAGAGCGAGACTTTGTCTAAAAGAAAAAAAAGAAAAGAAAATGGAAAAATGAAAAGAATAGAAAAAGAGAGTAAAAAAATGGGGTGGAAGAACTGATCAGGCCCCTCCTTCCCTTGGCTTGTGTAAGAATTAGCAGGCCTAGGTTGAGCTGGGAGAAGGGACACAGTCTGATTATATACTATATGGAAGTACTAATTTAGATGAAACAAGTAATTTAATATCTGAAAATGAATAGAGCTAATTGACAAAACTGACTAGAAATGCTTTTAGAGAGATACATGTGCCACGTGAGTTTGAAGGACAGTGGTAAGAAAATAATGTTTGCTTCCCACTTAAGTGGAACTAATTGAAGGTAACCGATTCAATAAAATAGCTACACCAATATATTTAAGTTCATTTTCTCTCTATTAAAACAAAACACATTAACACAGCAAACACTTCAATAGACTTCAGAACTCCTTCCAACTACCACCATCTCACCATATTTATCCTTCCCTTTAATGGCAAACTGAAGTAATTTATACTCATTAGTTTGATTTCCTCTCCCACCGGCAGAAGAGTCTCCGTACTCAGGCTCACACATAGAGAACAGGACATCTCCTCCTCCTCCACACACCCACTTCTGCTGCTGCTGCTGAAGGCTGGGGCAGGTGATCCAGAGACCGGCCTGACTGAGGTTCTAAGTAGTGACTACAACCTCACAGTGTAACATGGCCTGCATGCCTGGGATCTGGAGTGAAAGCAAGGTTCTTCCTCCCTGACACATGGCACTATAGCACTGCTGCTGCAGAGAGCAGAAGAACCTGAGAACAGCATGTCTGGAGCTGTGGGTGGTGACCCATAGCACAGCCACCACCAACATGAGCCCATACCATGCAGGACCCAGAGGGTCATTCCACCACCTCTACTGCCATGACCCATAGCACAATTGTTTCCCAGGACATGAGAATCTGTTCAGTGACCTAGCCCACTGCTGCCACTACCAGCAGCCATGCAAGCCATCTAAGGCCCAGGAACTGGCCCACCAGTAACCACCAACACAGGTGCCAGCATACACCACTCTGGGGAACAAAGATAGGTAGAGTCAGCCTACCCTTGGGGCCTGTCCCCAGCACAACTTCACCATAGCCTTCACTAATAATTGCAGCCTAATCCTCTAAGGAAATCACAAAAAGCACTAATGCTATTTACAGCCAAAGAAATCATACAGAGACTACACTACTACATGCACCCAGAATCAAAGTCAAAGTGCCCTACCTAACCAACACCACAGATACATCTTCAGAAAAAAAGTCCTACCCTATGGAAGTGAATTAAAAAATAGGAAGATGCAACTGTTACACCAGATACACAGATATCAACATAAAGACACAGGAAACATCAAAATACAATGAAATATGTATTATTTCCCTTTAATATGAAATATGAATTATTGTTTTCCAAAGGGAAATAATATTTCCAAAGGAAATTGTTTTCCTTTGGAAAACAATAATTCTCCAGCAATAGATCTTAATCAAAAAGAAGTTGCTGAAATCCCAGAAAAATAATTCAAAATTTCAATTTTAAAGAAGCTCAGTTAGATACAAGAGAATTCTGGAAAATACAAAGAATTCAGAAGAATAATTCAGGACATGAATGAGAAATCTACCAAAGAGATAGATAGATATTTTTAAGAAAGACCCAAATAGAAATTCTGGAGCTGAAGAATTAATTGAAGAAAATATAAAATATATTTGAAAGCTCCAATAATAGACTAGATCAGGCAGAAGAAAGAATCTCAGAACTTGACGACACATCTTTTGAAATAATCCAGTCAGACAAAAATAAAGAAAAAGAACCTAAAAGAATCCACAAAGACTTTGTGACATTTGGGACAACATAATGTGATCAAATATTCAAATTATTGGCATCCCAGGGGCAAAGAGACAAAGGAAGGACTATAAAACCTATATAATTAAATAATAGAAGAAAACTTCCCAAGTCTAGCAAGAATTGTAGACGTTCACATTCAGATATAGGAACTTCAGCAATCCCTAGGCAAACACTGCAAAAATGTCTTCCCCATGGCACATTATAGTGAGACTGCCTAAAGTCAAAGATAAAAAGCATACCCTTCAAAAAGCAAGAGAAAAGCATCTAGTCACCAATAAAGAAACCCCATCAGACTAACTAACAGTGGATTTCTGTTCGTTTTTTGTTGTTGTTGTTGTTGTTGTTGTTTTGTTTTGTTTTTGGTTTTGAGACAAGGTCTTGCTCTGTCGCCCAGGCTGGAGTTCAGTGGCAAAATCTCGGCTCACTGCAACCTCAGCCTCCCCATATTCAAGCGATTCTCCTGCCTCAGCCTCCTGAGTAGCTGGGATTACAGACCCACACCACCATGCCCAGCTAATTTCTGTATTTTTTTTTAGTAGAGACGGGGTTTCACCATGTTGGCCTGGCTGGTCTCAAACTCCTGACCTTGTGATCCACCCACCTCGGCCTCCCAAAGTTCTGGGATTACAGGCGTGAGCCACTGTACCTGGTCTTAACAGTGGATTTCTTAGCGGAAACTTTACAGGCTAGAAGAGAATGAGGTGATATATTCAAAGTACTGAAATTAAAACAACAACAACAATAAAAAAAAACTGTCAGCCAAGAAGAGTCTATTCAGCAAAATTATCCTTCATAGATGGAGGAAAAATAAAGTCTTTCCCAGAAAAGCAAATGCTGAGGGAATTTGCTACAACCAAGAGAGACCCTATGAGAAATGCTCAATGGAACAGAATCAGAACCCTGAAATAAAGTCACATACTTACAGCCAACTGATCTTCAGCAACACTGACAAGAACACTGGGGAAAGGACACCCTCTTTAATGAATAGTGTTAGGAATATTGGACAGCCATATTCAAAAGAATGAAACTGGATCCCTATCTCTTACCATATACAACATATAACTCAAAATGGATTACAGAGTTAAACTTAAGACCCAGAACTATAAAATCACTACAAGAAAACCTAGGTAAAACCCTCCTGGACACTGGTTTAGGAAAATAATTTATGACTAAGACCTTGTTGAGTGGGAGAAAATATTTGCAAATTATCCATACAACAAGGGACTAATATCTAGAATATACAAGGACCTCAAACAACTCAACAGAAAAAAAAAAAAAAACCCTAGGAAACAAAAAATCCCCTTAGGCATGACATGAATAGACATTTCTGAAAAGAAGACATACAAATGGCCAACACTTATATTTAAAAATGCTCAACATCACTAATGATTAGAGAAATACAAATTAAACCATAACGAGATATTATCTTACCCTAGTTAGAATGGCTGTTATTAAAAAGATAAAAATTAACAGATGTTAGTGAGGATGCAGAGAAAAAGAAACCCTGAAGGTATGTGTTCTCATCAGCTGTTCACTATACACCTGACAACCTTCCACTCTGAGTACAATATCAGCCTGGCCATTCCATGTTGCTCTAGGGGTCTGCTTTGGCAACCCCCAACAAA